TGCCACCCCTTGCTGAGCCTGCGGGGTGCCCTGCGGCAGCCGCCCCTGCGTGGCCTGGGCGATTTCTGGCTTCCCCGCCCCCTGAAGGGTACAACCCCGCACCGCGAACACATGCGGTGTTCCAAAAAGGGCATTGCCTTCGAGGGTCAGAGCAGATGCCATCTTCCGCGGCGGAAAGCGGCGGAAGGTCGGAGAAAGTAAAATGAGGCCACCTCCGCCGGCGGAAGCCGGCGGAAGGCCGGCGGAAGGCGGCGGAAACAAAGATGCGACCCCAAAAGATGGAAACGTTTTTTGGGTCAGGGTTTTCGAAATCGGCCAAATGATGAACGTGCTCATTATGCTTGGCGGGTCCTAGCCTGACACTTTTTTGGCCCCGACAGAACGCCTGGACAACGCAACCCGAACGAAGTTGCCCAAAATGCCTGCGCGAATTCACACGCAGCCGGACCTCGCCACATGCATGGCAGCACAGACGCGCCCCAGGCGTCTCATCTGCGCCGCCGTTGCGACTCGCCCCGAGATGCCACCCCGAGACACGGCCACTGGCACCACCTCCGCTTGGCCGCCGGCCTCAAGCAGCGGAGGCCCCACAACCCGAGGACTTGAGTTCCGGCGGTCCCCTCGTCGGGGGGCCCCTTCGAATAACCACAATCGGGCCTCTCAGGGGTGGCACGGCAGGCCCGCACCTGACACCATGGTATCTCCTTCGGAGAAGTCAGGGCGCCTCCCCGCTGATCTCCGGGTCCACTCGGCCTCCTTGTGAACGCGGTCAGGTAAACCCTTACGATGGCCGAGGACATCTACAGCACGCTGGCCCTGCTAGGTGCTGCTCCACCCGCAACATACGAGTGTATAAGTGTCTTCGCCGCAACACGCTGCTGTGATCAGTCGGTTCCTCCTCCACTCCTCCTGTTCCTCCTGGTTCTCCACCTCCTCCTTTGACTCGTCAACGCTGCCAGCTCCTGTTCGACCACGGTAAGAGGAGAAACAAAGAAAGCCCAGCGACGCACTTCAGGTCATGGAGACCCCTTCTCCTCCTCCTCCTCATCATCATCATCCTCCTCCTCGATCCTCCTTCTCCTCCTCCACCTAATCCTCCTCCTCTTCCTCCTCCTCCTCCTCCTCCTCCTCCCCTTCCTCCCCCTCCTCCTCCTCCTCCTCTTCCTCCTCCTGCTCCTCCTCCCCCTTCCCTCCCCTCCGCCTCCGCCTTCTCTTCCTCCCTCTCCTCCTCCTCCTCCTCCTCCTCCTCCTCCTCCTCCTCCTCCTCCTCCTCCTCATCCCGCGGGTGGATGGGGGGAAAGGGGGGAGGCATCCCAAGCAAGCACGCCGGTGGCAGCAGGGCCCTCGACAAGACCAGCCTGCAGCGGCCACCGGGTGCAGAACAACGACAGCAAGCACCGACAATCAAGTAACCGCATGCCGATGATAATAAAGGGACCCCCCCCCTTCAGTGTTTAGAGTTGATTATCGTCGACCAATAAGAGTTTGGTCGGGGGCGCGGGGGCGCGGAGGCCGAACTTCATTATCACGGGAAAAGTTCGCCATCGAAGTTACTTCCTTCTTATGTTGAGATAACAACATCAAGCGAAGCGAACACGTTGTTTCAGGATGTCTCAAGCGAAACCAATGTCTTTCTGTCTCTTTGTAGTTCTTTATGTCTCTCTTTCTTTCTTTCTTTCTCTGTCTCTCTTTCTCTCTCTCTCTGTCTCTCTATCTCTTTCTCCTTCCTGGCCTCTCTGTCTCTCTCTCTTTCTGTCTCTCTATCTCTTTCTCCTCCTCCTCCCCCTGGCGCCCTGAACTTGTTTATCGCTGGGGTTGATTCTCCAGGGAAAACGAGGCAGGTGAGCTACCCTACACGGGCACTTAAAATTTTTTTATTTTTCATAAAGCGCATGTAAATAAAATTTCATACGTTTGAATCTTATGTTTTTTTCTTATCATCCTTTCCTCTCCTCTTTATCCTTTTCATTTCTTATTCTACTTTTCTGTTTAAATATATCTTCTCTATTAAAGTCCTTCCTTTCTTTTTCTTTATGATGTATCTCTCTTTCTCTCTCTCTCTCTCTCTCTTTTTCTCTCTCTCTCTCTCTCCATGCCCCCCCCCCCTCTGAACTGTTCTTATCCCTGGGGTTGATTATCCATGGAAAATGAAGCACATGAGCTACCCTACACGAGCACTTAAAGATTTTAATTTTCATAAAGCGCTTGTAAATAAAATCTAATACATTTGAACTTGAGATGTTTCCTTCTCTTTCTCCTCCTCCTCTATTTTCTTTTCTTTTTGTGTTGTCCTTTTTCTGTTTCATTTCTTATTGTTTCTTTTTATTTTTGTTATTGTATATCGCTTTCTCCATTTCTCCGCCTTTCTTAAGCGAGATAAGCAATAGTTTGACGGTGCCTCAAGCGAAATAAGCAATAGTTTGTGGATGTCTCAAGCGAAACAAGGGATTTGTCGAGGATGTCTCCAGCGAGATAAGCCATTGTTGAGGATATTTCTATGAAGACTAAACGCCAAGGATGTCTCAAAACGTGCTCGGCTTGGTCTCCTCTTGATCATCTCTTACTTCGAGATTATGCTGAGGTCTGCTGGGCTACTTTTATTATCTCTCCCTGAACCCCGAACTTTATTATCCCCTAGTGTTTATTCTCACGGGCATGAGGTTATTCTTGTTGGGGCGTCATTGGGGCCTCGAAACACGACCTGACAACCCACAAGACCCTTCTGCAGGGACCCATCCTCCTCCTCATCCCCTCCTTCTCCTGCACTGCATAACTCCACCAAGTCCTCGCATATTCTCGTGACAGAAGCCTGGGACTCGGGGCACGCCTTCTCTAGGCCACCTAAGACCTACATCGAGCACCACCACGTGAGCCCCGCCGCTGCACGGGCAAGGCGTTGCCACAACGCCTGAAGCATCCTGATTATCCTCACTATCCTCCTCCTCCTCCTCCTCCTCCACCTCCTCCTCCTCCTCCTCCTCCTCCCTCTCCACCTCCTCCTCCTCCTCCTCCCTGCTCGATCCTCCTCCTCCTCCTCCTCCTCCTCCTCCTCGATCCTACTCCTCTTCCTCCCTCCTCCTCCTCGATCCTCCTCTTCCCCTCTCCTCCTTCCTCCTCTTTCCTCCTCGATCCTACTCCCCCGGCCTGCCCGCCGAGAAGGCCCGACCGACAACCCTGCGCCCGGATCCCCACCGGCGGCCCTCCAACTTGACCGAGGCTCGGCCCTGCCGTCGACGCCGTCGTCAATGTCATCGTCGTCGACGTCGCCGCTGACGTCGTCGTCGACGCCGTCGTCGCCGACCTCGTCGTCGTCCTCCTCCTCCTCCTCTTCCTCCTCCTCCTCCTCCTCGTCGTCCTCGTCCTCGTCGTCCTTTTCGTCGTCCTCCCCGGTCGTCGCCTTTGTCGTCATCGGTCGGCGGTGTCGTCGACGTATTCGTCGTCGAGATCGTCGTCGTCGTCGTGACCATCGTCGTCGTCGAGTCGTCAACCACCTTCCTCGTCCTCCTCTTCCTCCTCCTCCCCGTCGTCGTCCGCGTCGCTGTGGTGGACGGCGACAAGGAAAAGGGGGGAGGATGACCAGGTGCCTGTTCCACAGTTGCAACTTACCCGAGCTAGAATCTCCCCGAGATTGCGTTAAGGCGCTCCCATGTTGGCAGCCACCGCGAATCTACGGGATCGGTATAACTGCCATCAAAAACCTATCCGAGGGCGGAAGAAATGGCACTCGGAGACGAAATGCGCTCATCCGCATCCTCCGCGACCTCGTCATTCTGCGGCTCCTTCCCCCTCCTCACTACTCCCTATCGTCCATCTGCTCCATCCTCTCCTCATTCTTGATCTCGTCGTCCCCCCTCCCTCCTCCTCCTCCTCCTCCTCCTCCTCCTCCTCCTCCTCTTCCTCCTCCTCCTCCTCCTCCCCCTTCCTCCTCCCCCTCCTCCTCCTTCTCCCTTACCGTCCTCTTCCTCCTCTCTCCCTTCTCCCCATCCGCCGCCATTGACGGCGACGCGGACGACGACGACGAACGACCACGACAACGACGGCGGCGCCTCCAGAAATCTCTGAAGGCACCCAGACGGCCCAGAGGAGGAGGAGGAGGCCGACTGGGTCCAGGGCGACGACGATGACGACGGCAACGTTGACGACGGCGACGCGGAGGAGGAGGAGGAGGAGGAGGAGGAGGTGAAGGTAGCGGAGGAGGAGGAGGAGGACGACGATGACGAGGTCCCTGGAGCTCTCTGGAGGCCCCCAAGAGACTCAAGAAGCCCAAATAAGGGCCCCAAATAGCGGAAAAGAATCCACGAAGGAGGATGTGGACAAGGTCGACAATCACGACGATGCCGCCGACGACGCTGATCACGACGACGACGATGACGACGACTTCGACGACGACTTTGATCACGACGACGACGAAGACGTTGGCGACAACGTCGGCGCAGAATCACTCAACATGTAATCGACAAATCGGATCAGATCGGAACATGCGCCAATTCGAGCTGCATCGGAACGGAATCGAGATCGAATCGAATCAACCGCGCATGGGTGCGCAACGGTACCCATCTTACTACCTGGCCGCATCGGATAGCGGGAATATCAAAATCGAACCTTGCAAAGCAAGATGATATCCACTTTTATTCGGGTCGATCATACCAGAATGCAAGCCACGGAGAAGGACACCCACAACGTCCACGACGAGGACGGCGAGGGCGACGACGACAACGACGAGTGCGAGGACGACGAGCGCGACGGTGACGACAAGGGTGGAGGCGTCGACGAGGACGCCAACGTGGACGTAGACTAGGACGACGATGACGGCGAGGGCGACGACATCGGAACAGCCCCTGCCGTTGGCGACGGCGACGACTGCGGAGGCGACGACGACGACGACGACGACGACGACCGACGGCGACGACGGCGGCGGCGGCGACGGCGGCGAGGGCGGCGGCGTCGGCGGCGGCAGCGGCGGCGGCGCCTGCGGTCGCCGCGGCGAGGGCGCGGCGGGCCTGGGCGCGCGGGCGCGCGCGCGGGCGACCGCGCCGCCGCCTCCGTCCTGCTCCTCTGCATACTCCTCCCGCTCCTCCTCCTCCTGCTCCTCCTCCTCCTCCTCCTCCTCCTCCTCCTCCTCCTCCTCCTGCTCCTCCCCCTCCTCCTGCTCCTCCTTGTTGGTCTTCCTCCTCCTCCTCCTCCTCCTTCTACTCCTTCTCCATTCCTTTGCCTCATAAAGAACTTCTCCGTGTCGCACCCCGAGGCCAGTGTTTTAGGGCGGGCCGGGCGTTTCGCCTGAGACTTCCTCACCATGTACGTATGACCCTAAAGCTCAAACGTTGGCAGCAGTTTCACAGATGGAGAGCGGGTTGCTTTCGAAATGTGGCTCTCGCCTTAGCGCCACGCACATTCGTTGTAACGTTTTACATGAGCTTCGCGGTTTGAGGGCGGATGGATTTCAAAATGTGGCTCTTGCATTAGCGACGCGCACATTCGTTTTCGGCATTCGCAACAGTTTCACGGATTGAGGGCGGGCCGTTTTCAAAATGTGGCTCTCGCCTCAGCGCCGCGCGCGCTCGATTTAAACCTGTGCGGAAAGTTCACGGATTGAGGGCGGTTCCTTTGTAGAATGTCGCTCTCGCGTCAGCGCCGCGCGCATTCGTTTTTTCATAAAACAAAACGTTACAAGAGTTTCACGGGTTCCCATGTTCAGCGTACCAGAAATTGCGTTTAGGCAAGATTCAGGATTGTGAGGGTGCAACAGTTACGTTGGTTCGCGGTGCTGGAGTCCCAGGAATAACGTTCTGGAACGATACAGGATCGTGAAGACGCAACAGTCAGGTTGATCCGTGGCGTAATCCCGAGGACAATGTTTTGGCATGCGTCAGGGTCTTCAACCGGTTGTGTTCCAGCGAGGCAGTTCCCTCCGTGGAAATGAACCGCTGTAGGGGCCTATGAAGAGGGAGCTTGGAAGGAGGGTGTATTCCAACATCGTTGATGGCCATTGGGTTTTGCACTGGTCCTCCTCCTCCTCCTCCTCCTCCTCCTCCTCCTCTCCCTCCTCCTCCCCCTCCTCCTCCGCCTCCTCCTCCTCCTCCTCCTCCTCAAGCCATCTGCGGCACGAGGGGCCTCTTGGGAACAGGTCCCCCGCCCGCACGGCACTCGCGCGTACCGAGTGCGGGCGGTCACCAGCGTGGCCGCTACGCGCTCCCGCGGCTTGAGGGGCGCCTCTCAGGCGGCAAAAGTCGAGTGCTGAGCCAGTTTTGTGATTTGGATGGGCCGCAGTGGCAATGGGCGGGCCAGGAGCAGAGACGGTTCGAGGCCCCCGTCCACACACGGCAAGCGTCGGCAAGCGTATTTTGTTTGTCGGTCTTGCCCTGGCTCTTGGGTTTACTGCAACCGTGCGGGAGCTGCTGGATGGGAGTCTTGCCGCACCTGTGGAAAGCCATGGCCCAAGCAGTCCACCAGAAAGGAGGTCACTTTCGCCATCGAGGACGGAGAGACCAGCGGTAGCCCTCTTCTCGAGCAGCTGCTCCCGAAGTACAAGGCAGCCCTCGACTCCAAGCAGGATGACCAGGCCCAGGCGTTGCTGCTGGTCTGTCCCGAGCTGGGCGAGGCTGCCAAGCCACCGCCGCCCAAGGCCCCTGAGTTTCTCCTGGAGCAGTACGCAGCCGACTTGTGGAGGCTCCACACGGCCCAGGGCAAGCTCAAGAACCAGTTGGTGGCCAACGCCAAGCACGGCAAGGAGCTCCTGGAGAAGTTGGAAGAGAACGTCCGCGCCTGTGCTGTGGCCCAGGCGGAGGTCAACCGCATCACGAACCTTACGTCAGCCACGCAAGGGGCAGCATGGGGCACTCCACTCGCACCTGAATGCGACAGGGGAGGTGCTGGCGACAGCTTCAACTTCCCCGAGCTGTTTGCGGAGGACATCGAGCTCCTCACCCCAGAGCAGAAGGCGGCGTACGAGGAGGTCCTGCAGCTTGCGAAGAAGGCCCAGCAGGTGTACCAGTCCGCGGCGGACATCGGACAGAAGGCGCAGGAGGCCGCCAACACCCTCAGGGAGCTCCGCGAGAAGGCCAACACGGCCAAGCGGCGCAAGGCCGACAGCGCCGCAGGCGTTGCCGCAGGCGCACCAGCAGAGGCCCCAGCTCGAGGAGAAGGTGCTGAAGGAGATGGGGCAGCTCCGACGCCAGGGCCGCCCGACTTCAGCGATCCGAAGAATGTCGACGCCTTCATACAACGCACCGCTGCACTCAAGGCTCCGGCAGCAGTGGCAGAATCTACACGTACGAAACCCACATCTACACCTACCAAGGCGGGGGCACCGACAGCGAAGGGGTCAGGGTCAGCGGCGGCCACGACACCGACGCCAGGCGGGTAACCCAGGTCACGTAGTAGCCAGAGTACCATTCGCCCAGCGAGATCACGCAGCCATCTTCTTCGGTAACGTGACTAGCTACGGCCCGAAGGTCAAGAAGTTCATCGAAAAGTCTCATTTCGACCTCATGGGTTTGGCCGAGCATCACTTGCCACAAGTGAAGTGCCAGAGGGAAGAAAAGAGGCTCCGCAATTTTGGCTGGAGATCTGAAGGGACCTGGACTGCTGCCACGGCGACGGGGCGCTCGGACAAGGGCGCGCATGGGGGAAGATGCTGGCTCAGACGGGCAACCTACGCTACGAGCATCCACCTGGAAGGTTCCAACGGGAAGAGTGTCTACCACGACACGAACAACGACATCTCAGTTGTTCTGTGGCGGTTTCACGGCGCCACTTTCGCCTTCATAGTGTGCTACCTAGACTGCTCCATCGGTCTGACCGGCACCAACGCACGGAAGATGAATACGATTCTCCGCATAGTCAAGACGATTGGAATTCCTTGGCTGCTAGTGGGTGATTTCAACGCCACCCCACAGGAAATGATGTAGGCGGGATGGCTCCAGGCGCTGAACGGCCTGGTCGTCACCCCTGAGGGCGCGGAGATCACCTGCACGTCGGGCAAAGGCCGTATGATCGACTACGTCATCATTCCACCGAGTTTCCGCCCGTTCCTGGATAGCGCGCGCCCCATCCAGAACCTGCCATGGGGCCCACACATCGGCCTCGACATCCGCGTGGTGGCACGCCCAGCTTCAGTTTTCCTGCGGGTTCCCTGCCTCCCTGTCCGTCTTGACGTACCACAGGGGGGCTGTACGCGTCCCCAAGGGCGTCAAGATATGCCAGCGCGATCGACAGCGTCATCAGAAGTTGCAGGAGGCTCGCGATGCGCAGGACCTGCAGCACGGCGACCTGCTCAACGACGAAGACGACCACCTGCTTGACGACCACTACGTGCAGCAGCGCGCCCGTCGGTGCGACGACAGGGACTGGCTCGCACACGTGCACGAGGCCCAGCAGATCGTCGATGCCAGCAACTTGCAGAGCACGGCCGACGCTAGGCACAGCCCCGCCTACCAGCAGGACCCACACATGAGTGACATGATGGCGCGCCAGTGCGCTGTCTGGTCCGTCGCGGCTGAAGGGCACCTCTCCGAGCTCTGCGAGGCCGGGCCCAAGGTTTCAGCACGTCGAGGTCTGCCAATGCGCTACCGCTGGCAGAAGGCCGTGCACCAACCTTCGCACTCCCTCTACGGGCATTCCTCGGCCGACGAGATGAATAGCCACTGGGCGAGCTTGTGCGCCAGGGTCCAGGAGCAGCTCATTGCCTTGGGACGTTTCAAGCATACGAGTTACCAACGTCGGGTCAAGTTCACGTTTTCTTCTCTACTCTCTGAGCTCAAGGCTCTTCATGACAGACAAGGCCCTGTGCCTCAAGGACATGAGCACGACCAACAGGGTAAATGGAGAGTCTTCCGAGACGACGACAATGTGATCGCCATGGCCCTCCGCATCCAGCGCAGCGCGGAGTTCCACCCCTGGCAGCACTTCGCCGTGAAAGTTCAAGCACGTGCCCAGCGCCACGCCAGCCTGGCGTGGCAGCCGACTCGAAGCGAGATCGGCAAGTGGGCGATCAGCAACACGAAGGGCTCCATGAAGGGTGCCCACCGCTACCTGAAGCAGCTGGAGCAGCGGGCGCTGGCGGAGACCTGCTTGGACCCTGTAGGGCAAGAGGTGTGTGACACGGCGCAAAGGACCACGGAGATCAGAGCGGCCCGCTGGGCGGAGCGGTGGACGTCCCAGTCGCATCGGCTGCCTGCGGTCCGCGCTGCCCTTGGTGAACTTCACATTCGTGCCCACGGTGAGCTGACACAGCGGCCATATCACGACCGCGACAGCTTGGTGCTGGCGCTGCGCTCGTTTCCGAAGACCACGGGCAAGGGATCGGACCAATGGGCGCCTTCCCACATCCTGGCGCTCTCCGACAAGGGGCAGGAGGCTTTCGTCACGCTCCTGGGCATGATCGAGCGCAGCCTCGCGTGGCCGCATCAGTTGCCCCACAACTGGTTCGCTCTGCTCCCGAAGGGCACCAAGCAGGAGATTGGCAATGAGTGCGACATTGGCTTGATGCCCATGCCCGTCCGCATCTGGGGCCGCATGACCAAGACCGCGCTGACCGAGTGGTGCGACGCGAAGGCCGCGCGCTGGGACGCTGCCGTCAAGGGCAGCAACGCGCCCCAGGCCGCCCTGCTCACCATGGTGCTGGACGAGTCCAGGGCGCACATTGGCATCAATGAGCAGAGCAACTTCCTGGTCGACGTCGAGAAAGTCTACGACCGCATGGACCCGGAACTCATGATCCGCCAGGCCCTGGACCTCGACTTCCCGCCCGTCGAGCTCTACCTGTGCTGCCTCGCCTACCTGGCCCCGCGCGTGGTGAAGGCCAATGGAGCCCACGCAAGCGCTATCATTCCCAATTGCCCCATCGTGCCTGGGTGCGGGAAGGCCAATCATTGCGCCCGCGTATTCCTATACCGACTACTCGAGGAAGCACATGCTCAAGCCCCGCTGGCCAGGTTTCGACAGTACGTAGATGACGTCCACTCCAGAGTTGAAGAACCATGTCAGTTAGTTTGGGAACAGA